GTCGAGAGCCCTTATCTGTACCAGTGTACGTGCTCCGGGTTGTAAGATAGAACTGATTTGTAAGAGAACTGGGGTCATGATAGTGGGCGGGGAGGGGTGGATCATTAAAGAACTAGAGGAACGTTGTGTGTTTTGTCGGTGCTATGCTGCACCCTGGCTGACTTGTCCCTTCCTTGTGACCCTTCTGTGAGGGATGTCCAATTGTCTACAGATGGGCTTTCAGTCTCCACTCTGACCCACTCTTGTTTTCATGGATAGGCTTGTTTGCTTTGAGTCTTCTGACTGCCTGATGCCTGATCCCATCGACACCTGTGACCACACGGGCTGCTATGCTTTTTCCCTGTGGGCTTTGTTGCTTCCCTGCTCGATAGCTGCTTGTTTAACTTCAGGCCTTTAAGTCCCCAGACACTACCTCTTGTAATAGCAGGGCACCATCAGCTTTCTTCACCACATTTGCATATGCACCCATTTCCCCGAGACTGTAACCCTTGATGGGATTAGAAAGCCTTGTCTTTCTGTTGTGGAGCAGCTGGTGGTTTTGAACTGTTGACGTTGAGGTTAGAGACCCAATGTGTAACCACTATGCCACCAGGGCTCCTGCCTCTTAGAGCACAATGTTAATAGACCTGAGGCTGTCTAGTCAGTTCAAACTCACAGCGATCCTACTGAGCAGAGCAGAACTGCCCTGCAGAGGACTTCCAAGAGTGTCAATCTGGCCAGAAGCAGACTGCCTCATCTTTCTCCCTGGGAGCAGCTGGTGAGTTCAAACCAGCGACCTTTCTATTAGTGGTGGAGTGCTTAATCACTGAGCTATCAAGTCTCCTTGTTCAAAGCAGGTGCAAGGTTATCCATTTCTTCTGCATACTGGAGCCTTGAGAATTACCAAGAAATTGGGTAGAGCAGCTTAGCCTTACAACGGCCATTGAATTGGCTGCTGCAAACATCCCAGTGCAATTCACTGCTCTCAAGTCGATGCTGATGCACAGTGACCCTCCAAGAACTGCTCTTCTTGATTTCTGAGACCTTGAATCTTTAGAGGAGTAGACAGCCTCATCTTTCTCCCTCGGGGCATCTGGTGGGTTCGAGCAGCCGACCTTGTGGTGAGCAGCTCAGCGCACAGCCCACCACGCCACCAGGGCTCCTTGCTGTATACATTCAGGCCCTTCCATTTCTGACTAGGGAATGGTGTTCAGATATTCTTGCTCAGGCTTACTACGGTTTTCTGTTCTCCTAGTATACCGTGACTTGATACCCGAGTGCTCCTTAGAGGCAAGGATGGCGAGACTTCTTTTACACCCACTGGACACCTTGTCTGGACGTGGTGCTTGGTAAAGTGAAGGGGCGGTGGAAAGGGGGAAGGCCTTTAAGGAGAGGGATCGACCCCATGTTTGCAGCCAGGGGCTCAGGCCGAGGCACCATTGTGAGGACGGTGCAGGGCTGGCCCAGTCTCATTCTGCTGTGCACAGGGTGGACAGAGGACAACAGAGCACAGCAGGGGGCAAAGCCGCTTGGTGGTTAGACTGAGGATGGAGGTGGTGGTTCCGATGCCTGGTCTAAACCCCTTCCGGGGCATTCTCCATTCCCCCGTGTCCTCCCTTTCTGGCTTTCCTGGCAGGTTGAGCTGACTCACTGGGCCCAGGGCCAAGGGGGACAGGAATGCAGGCTGTGAAATGGTTGAGGCCTGGGCCCAGGGCTGGGCCCTGTAATCCCCCCTCAAGGGGGGTGGGGTGGGGGGGGAGCCTGGCCCTTTCACAGCCAAGGAAGCGGAAGCCCAGAGAGCAGGCAGGGGTCACATGGAAGGTGGTGGTCTTATTTGCTTTCGGGCCAGCTTCTGCTCATGGCACCGTCCTGTGCCATGACCACTGGTCAGTTTGAGTGCGTTGCTATGGCCACTGGGTCAACTCGCCTCATCGAGGGCTCCCCTCTGTCAACCATGGCGTCCCTTCCTCCCGATGCATCCACGCAGTGTTTTAGTCTGTTCTGCATGGAGTTCCGATGGGTAGGAACCGGCTCAAAGACCCCTAACAACGATCCATCCTCTCCGAGCTGCGTTTTGGTTACAGTTCTAAGACGGACTGATGTGTTCTTCTGGCAGCCGGTAGACAGTTGATTCAATCACCATTACCAACACCACAAAGGGAAAACCCTATGGGATATGAAGTGGAGGGGGGCAGAGATTCAAACCTGGAGCCTGAGGTCTTCACCTGCCCCCTAGCGCCAGGTGGGTATTCTGGGTGGTGTTGTTAGGAGCTGTGGAGTCGGGTCCAGCCCCTGGCAGCCTTAGGGACAACAGAGCAAACACTGCCCGGTCCCGCGCCATCTTCCCAATGGTCTGAGGTTGGAGCGCATCGTTGCAGCCCCTGGGCCAATCCGTCTTCTTGAGGGTCCTCTCCTTCACTGCCCGTCCCCTTTACCAAGCAGGTGTCCTTCTCCAGGGACTGCTCTCTCCTGACCACATGTCCCAAGTTTGTGAGATGAAGTGTGTCCATCCTCGCCTTGAAGGAGCCTTCTGGCTTCACCTACGCTCAGACAGATTGGTTGGCTCTCTGGGCAGTGCGTGGCGTTTTAAATAGTCTTTGCCAGCCCTGTGATTCAGATGCATGGTTTCTTCTTTGATCTCCCTGATTCCTTGTCCAACCTTCTCATGCATCAGAGGCAACTGAAAATGCCATGGCTTGAGTCAGGCGGACCTGGGGATGGAGTGGTTTCTTCTTGAGTCTGACCATGGTGGGCTTCCATGACAGGAGTTCATGCTGTTACATGGCTGATCCCTTGGGCCAGGGCTGAGCTCAGCAAACTACCTCCCAGGGCTGGGGGTGGGGAGTGGGGAGAGTCCACTAATTCCACAGAGCTTGGAAGAAGGAAGATGCTTGCAGGGCTAAACGTGTGTGCGCGCGTGCGTGTGTGTGTGTGTGTGTGTGTGTGTGTGTGTGAGAGAGAGAGAGAGAGAGAGAGAGAGAGCTGATGAATGTGACTGAGACAGGCAATGAGACAAAGTTGGTGAAGAGAGACAGAAACAGAGAACAGAGGTATCCCCATCCCACCCCCAACTGTGGGCTGAGTTCGCAGACTGGACCCTCCTCCAAGCCCAGTCCCCAGGGCAGGCATTATGAAGGGGTACTCAAAATACCCCGGGAAAAGCTCTGCTAGGCAGAGCTTTCGTAGTGCACATTTTTCCTGCTGGGCGAGCATCAAGCAACTTGCTCTGAGTTAGTGCACCCAGTGGCGTCATCTGGGAAGGTTCTCTCTGGTCACAGCGAATTCTTTCGTAAAAGCGGCTTCGATGGAACCTCATTTTTTGCGATGGCCGATTTAGGAGGACAGCATGTGACTGTGAAATTTTGCTTTCTGCTTGGTGAAAATGACACAGAAACTGTTGTGTTGTTGAACACAGCTTGCAAGGACAGCGCTATGGGAAAAACTCAAAGTGTACGAGTTTTCTCATTTCAAAAAAGGTGAAATGTCGATTGATGACAAACCTCATGCATTTGGACATCCGCCAACTTCCCGAATGGATGAAAAACATGAAAATGTGGACAAACATTTGTGCACTTGTGCTCGAAGACCGACAGTGGACCAATGAAGAGATGGGGTCGCCATCTGGACTCCCTTGGAGCTCGGGTCTGCAAATGTTAACAGAAGATTTGGGAATGAGAAGGGTGGGTGTGAAATGTGCGCCTCGGGTTCTGACTGACCAGGAAAAGGGCACCGAGTAGAACATGCTTTCAAAGAACAGGTCCGAAGCAACCCAGACTTTTTTCCCCCAAGATCATTACTGGTGATGAGACATGGTGCTATTCTTATGACCCTGAAAGCAAACACCAATCAAGCCCGTGGAGGATGCCATTGTCACCTCGCCCACCTCCCACCCCAAAAGCTCATTGAGTGAAATTAAAGATCAAGACGATGCTCATTTGTTTTGTTTTTTATGTGAGGGGGATAGTGCATTTGGAGTTCATTCCACCAGCTCAGACTGTTAATCAAGTTTTCTATTTAGAGGTTCTAGAAAGACTGTGTAACAGTGTGCGACAAAAAAGGCCTGATTTGTGGCAGGCTGTGGACTGGTCTGCCACCATGACAACGCACCTCTTCAAGCAGCCATCTCAGTGTGCCAGTTTTTGGCAAAAACCAGCATGCCTTTCTTGCCCCACACACCTTACTCACCTTACTCACCTGACCTTGCTCCGTGTGACTTCCTTTTGTTTCCGAGAATGAAGAGGGACATAAAAGGACAGTGATTTGACGACATAGGTGAATGAAAACCAAGGGAAGTACTGTCAGCCATCCAAACAGAGGAGTCTGAAAAATGTTTCCAAGAATAGCATCACAGATTTGACAAATGTATTAAGTGTAACAGAGAGTTCTTTGAAGGTGATAAGGTGGTTTTGTACAAAATTTAAATACACAGCTTGAGCGGGGAAATTCCATTATGTTTTGTTTGGTACCCCGTGTACATCCACTTCAGGAGCCTTCAGCCCCAATGTGCTTGAGCCCCCAGGTCCACAGGGGGTAACAGGTGCCCTTGTCCCCTCACCACTAATGTGCATGGGTATTCCAAACCAGCATCTATATGCTTGCTGGTTGGTCAAATCTGAACATCAGTGATTAATTGCTCATGCCTGCTAGGGGCACAGGCTGGAACATAGGGATTTGAATCTTCAGGTGGATTATCTCTGTCTACCCCAGGCACCAACAAGTATGTTGAGTTGGTGTTCAAGGAAATCTGGGCACGGAATGCCCTCTAGTTCCCAGTTTAACCCTCACATGAGAGTAATGGGCCTCATCTCTCCTATCTCTCTCCATCTCTGTCTCCTTCTTTCTACATGTGTCTCTGTTCCTCCTTGCCTCTTCACCCCTCCCTACCTGACCCTGCAGCATCTCTGCTCATCGGCTCACTCGCACCGTAAAGAAATGCCTGTCTCCTGTGGCATGGATGGGCTGGGGTCTCCCGGCTGGCACTGAGGGGCTGCTTCCTCCTGTGCTCCCGGCAGGCGGCACTCATGGCCTCTCCAGGTGAGGAGACACCCCTCATCTCTCAGCGCTCCTGCAGCCTCTCATCTGCAGAAGTCGACGCCGTGCATGTGCTGCTCCCCGCCAGGGGCCTAGGCCCCCCTCGGTGCCTCTCCTTCTCCTTTGGGGACTACCTGGCTGAGGATTTGTGCGTGCAGGCTGCCAAGGCCAGCGGTGAGTGGGCTGGGCCCGAGGAAGGGCCAAGGAGGAGCGGATGGTCATGGGGATCTACAAGAAGCAGATTAGAGCTGGGGCGTTGAGGGGTGGATAGGAGTGTGGCAAGGGAAGAGGGGGAGCCCTGGTGCCACAGTAGTTGAGCACTCTGCAGCCTGAACCCATCAGCTTTGGGGGAGAAAGATGGGGACGCCTGCTTCAGTCAAGCTTCGCAGCCTTGGACATCGGGAGGAGGCAGCTCTTCTCCGTCTCAGAGAATCACTAGGTGTTGGAATCAACTTGGCGGCAATGGGTTTGGTTTGGTTTGGGTTGGAAGACAGGAGGGTAGACAGGCCAGTGTCCGAGGCAGAAGGAGGGCAGTGCAGGGTCAGAGGTGTGACAGCAGCGTGGTAACAGCTGGTTGTTCCCTGGGGGGAGTACGGAGAGGAAGGGGCTGGTCTGGGAGAGAGGCACGGAGGCTTGCCAACTAGGCTGATGACTTGGCGTCTCTCCTGAGAGCAAATAGTGTGTGTGGACAGGGGTGTCAGGGCTCTAAGTGAGAAAGAGCCCTGCAGGGCTTTGTGGGGGTGACCCGACAGTCACAATGGGACAGGTGGGGCTGTCCTCCACTCAGGAGGGAGCTGACAGGGCTGTCCCCACAGGAATCCTGCCTGTGTACCACTCCCTCTTTGCCCTGGCCACTGAGGACCTGTCCTGCTGGTTCCCCCCCAGCCATGTGTTCTCCGCCGAGGAAGGGGACACACAAGTCCTGGTCTACAGGCTCCGGTAGGAAATGCCCTCCCTCCACCTCCCACACTCACTCCTTCACTGCCAAGCCAATTCCTGTGCCCCACCCCCACCCCCCACCATGGGTTTCTGAGACTGTAACTATTTGTGGGAGTAGAAAGCCCCGACTTTCTCCAGTGGAGTGCCAGGGGGCTTCTAACTGCTGCCCATGCCAAGAGCCACCCAACACCACCAGGACGGCTCCTACCTCCCCACAGGGGCTGGCTCAAATGATCCCCAGACCCGACGCCTTTGCAGAGGGAGGGCTTGGGAGATGGGAGCTGAAAATGACAGGGATCCTACACTTTATCACGACACCCATCTCCAAGACGTGGAAACTGAGGCCTGCGAGTGTGGGTCTCTGGCCTGGAAAGTCCGTGGCACAACCCAGGCTCTCAAAGGCCTCCACACCCACTGCCCCCACCCGCTCCCAGCCACTGAGGTCTGGATGCCCCCCCACCCCAGGGCTCTCCCCCTGTCTGCAGTTTTTACTTCCCCAACTGGTTTGGGTTGGAGCAATGTCACCGCTTTGGGCTCCGCAAGGACCTGGCCAGCGCCATCCTGGACCTGCCAGTCCTGGAGCACCTCTTTGCCCAGGTGCGTCTCTGGTGGGTGAGGTGGGGGTCAGCCGGGCATCGCCAGGGTGGCCTCTGCTGAGCGTCGCTGTGCCAATCTAGGGTTGAGGCTCGGCCCAGGGTGGGAGGAATGGCCTGGGGTGGGGCACGGCCTTGGGTCGGAGGTCAGTTCTGGGCTGGCTGGCATCAGCTGCCCCTCCTTTGTATCTCAGGGTTTGGGGTCAGCCCTGGGCTGGGAGACAACAGGCCAACATCAGGGTGGCCTCGGCTGGCTCTCCCTGGGGCAGACGAGAGTTGGGGGCCAGCAGGGCCACCCCTGGGCCCCTGGTTGAGCAGCCTCGGCCGACTCTCCCATGGCCTGTGCACAGTACCGAAGCGACCTGGTGAGCGGGCACCTGCCCGTGGGGCTCAGCCTGAAGGCGCAGGGAGAGTGCCTCAGCCTGGCTGTGCTGGACCTGGCACGGATGGCGCGGGAGCAGGCCCAGCGGCCAGAGGAGCTGCTCAAGTCGGTCAGGTGAGGGTCCGGGCAGCGTGAGGGGCACCCAGGCTGGACTGAGGCCCCCTCCTGCAGTGAAAAGCCCCGTGTCCCCACACGGAGGCCCTGGCCCGACTTCTTGTATTCCTGGGTGTGTCGTTTTGGCTCCCACTGTTCCCCTGCTGGGCACCCTCTGTCCATTTCTGAGGCCTGGGCTTCTAAGGCTTGTCAGTTTCCCTGAGGGGACTCGGCCACACACATCGAGGTGCCCCCCACCTTCCCCCCCACCTACTGCAGCTACAAGGCCTGCCTGCCGCCAGGCCTGCGCGACCTCATCCAAGGCCTGAGCTTCGTCACGCGGAGGCGCATCCGGCGGACCGTGCGCCTGGCCCTGCGTCGCGTGGCTGCGTGCCAAGCCGACCGGCAATCGCTCATGGTCAAATACATCATGGACCTGGAGCGCCTGGACCCGGCCGGGGCCGCCGAGACCTTCCCCGTGGGCCTCCCGGGGGCCTCCAGCGGCCCAGACCAGCAAGGGCTACTGAGGGTGGCTGGAGGCAGCGGCATCACCTGGAGGCCCGGAGACCAGGAGGTGGGGCGTGGCGAGGGGC